TGCCTATGGGGTTATGATGGGTTTCTGGAACATCTACTAGTGTGCTGGGCATCTTACCGACATTTTCTCTTGACTCCTCCTACCCCTGTGAGGTGGTTATTTTTTCCCCACTCCCTTTAAGAAGGGGAAGCTGAGGTTTAGCAGGGTTTAGTAACATGCCAGGTTGCAAGGAGACAGAGCAGGGATTTGAACCCACCAGAGCTAGATGCTATTGCACATACCAACCTGTATTCCCTCAGCAGTGCTATGTGTTAAACTAATTCAGCATGAAGTATTAGGACATAGATCTATCACATTTTGGTTTTCTAGTAAGTAATGTCCCCAGAGCACTGCCCTGGCAAAGGGAAGGGAGCAGAAGGAAAGAGGTGGCTGAAAAGAAGGAAGGGCTTAGACGCCAAATATGAATTTCACATGTAATGCAAATTTTAGTTCCAACAAAAATGGCATTGGACTTCTCACCTTCTTTGTGCAAAAATGAACTTCTTAAAATATCTGGTTTCATAACTTCATTTTGGAGCAATTAAGGGATAGTGTTTCAAAATGCTGAGAACTTGCATGTCAATGTTAAAGGATTTCTGTCTATATCGTGCCAAGACACTTGTAGCTCTCTCTCTCCTACATAACATCATGTGAAAGCGTGATTTAGCAGGTTCAGTGGAGCTGGTATTTGTCTTTAGCCAGCATCTTAAAAGCTATCCTTTGAACCAACTCACCTCATTCTGAGTTCAGCTTTTTGTTCCTGTTTAATTTACCATCATATTTTGTTCAGTTATTAAGCAGGAAGGTAAGCAGGCCAGTCCTGGGGCAAATATTTGAGGATAAGTTTGTCACAGGGTTCTAAATTTCCCATGACTTCTTGGTTAAACCACTGAGCCTTGCCAGCCAGGCTGAAAGCATCTTTTTAAAGTGCTTTAAGTAGTGCTTGCCACATGGTGAGTCCTCCTTTAATGTTAGCTAGGATTATTATTACAATCATACATATCCCTCAAGGTCCAATTTTAATGTTCACTGTTCCATAACATCTTTCTTGATTATCTTAAGGAAATTTTTTTCCCTTGCTTGAGCCTTACATAGCAAAGACAACAGACTCCACTCTAGCACGTGAGTTATTTCCTTCCACCTTCTTTCTAAATCATGATTTGTTGCCGAAAGTGTGCCTAATATTTTCACATAAGATTTCTCATTTATGTTAAATAAAGTGAAAGAGCTGTTGCCCATTTCATTTTACAGATCAGAAAACTGACATCTGTAGCTAGCAAGAAAGAGGCTTTGTGAGGGTGACACAGCTCACAAATGACAGTACTATCATCTTTTCAAAGCCTTCCGAGTCTACCATCCCCTAGCAACTTTGCATCTTAACCGTCTGTGAAACCTAGATCTCAAACCTGTTCATTGTCACTCCAAGCACACTGGACGCTCAAATTCAAGTGTGCTGAATAGACCTACAGAGTTGAGCTCCTTACTCTCATGATATCATTTCCTCATAAACTCTAGTGATTCCAAGTCATGCAAATTCAGCATGCATCTTTATGTATGTTATAGGGTATATAATGGTTGCTGGCTTTCTTATAGAAAATACTATATTGATTTCTGTTGTTTTTTTTTTTAATGTTGCCATCCTCCCTGCACTTTAATCTCTTCCTAGTTTCATGTGCTTATGGAAATAAGCTTGGGCTATTTGGCAGGCAAATTGACATGTCTATTTTATGTAGCTGGTAATATGATCCCAGCCAAATCCTACCAGCTCCTCTATGGAAATGGATTTCTGGTTAATACAGACTAGCTTTAAGATCTAATCTTATTTTGAAAGGGTTTTTTTTGTTTGTTTTATTTTGTTTTTTAGCTTTCCAACTGAATTTCCTTTAAGTAAGGATACACGGAGCCATGTTTGCGAGTCTTTGGACAGGCATTTGAGTCAACAATGATACCTGAGCCCTGTTGACTTATTGTCCTAATACAAGTCAAGAGAGATTGCATTTCTAAAAATTAGTCATCACTCATTATCACTTCTTAAACCACAGGAGACTGGAGAAATGTCAATTTAAAATTTAGGCTAATAGAGAAGAACAGAGAAATACAAGAAAGAGACAAAAGCAAATAGAAGAAGAAAGGTAGGTCCAAACTTGAGCAGGAACCAGGTATTGTCTTAGAGGAAAGTGACCTGGAGATGACAAAAGTATGAGCCACCTAAACAGGATTCTTCAAGGATTTTGGGAAGAATGAGAGTCGAGTTTCGGGAATGGAATTTTGAAGGACTTCAAAGTCATGTGGCTCCAAGTGCTTGTTGCATGCGATCAGGTTACAGATCCATATATAAGTATACAGTATGTGAACTCATGGGGTTTTTCATCCTTCCTTCCCCAAGGACATATTTATTGAGTTCCTTTTAAATAGAGGGAAGGAGAGAGAGAGAGGGAGAGAGAGAGGGAGAGGGAGAGGGAGGGGGAGAGAGAGAGAGAGAGAGAGAGAGAGAGAGAGAGAGAGAGAGAGAGAGAGAGAGAACATCAACTGTTTGCTTCCTGAACAAGCTCCAACCAGGGATCAAACCCAAAACCTAGGTATGTGCCCTGACTGGGAAGCTTACCTTTTTGGTGCATGGGATAATGCTCCAGCCAACTGAGCCACTGGCCAGGGTGTGAACTCATTTTTTAAAAAAACAAACACATGTGCGTATATACTTAAAAAAAAACCTAAAGGTATGTTTACCAAAATGTTGATTTTTTTTCCTTTTGCTTGTCTGTAATTCTTGGCTTTGCAGAACAAACATATATCACACCATTTTTTTAATGAAAGCCAAAACAAATTCACAAAGGGCAGAATTTTAGGACGAACAATTTTGTTGAAACCTGACCAATTCTATTGCTTTAGACAAAACAACATGTATAAATCTTTGGAGATTAGAGAATGTGTTGTGGACTTGGTACCTTCCTTCCTACTCAGTGTTCTTCCCTTCAATAGACAGAAGCAACTTTGTGAATTCCATTTGTTCAGTGATTTCTGTGACTCACAATATTATTATTTTTTTAGGTAAAATTCCCCCCAACACTATCTTTTCCCCCTACACTATCTTTAATGTGATGAATGTGAAAGACCTATGAACAAAAAAGTGTATCGTCATGCAGTACTGGGAAAGACTGAGTACTACTTTGGACACTGGGATTTGCATTTTCAAAACAGTGTTCTTACTGTTACAAATTGATTCAGCATCTAAAATTTTTGAAAAGTAACCTTTCTATTCTACCAACCAGACCTAGTTAGCCAGCACTCTGCTTTGAGGAGTAATGTATTAGCTGCGAATATAAAAGATAATTGACAAGACTTTTCACAGTTTTCTCTTTTTGCATTTAGTCAATTTTCAAATGTAAAAGGCAAAGTTGCCCCACAAGATGCTGAAAAGGGGACTTTAACTCACAAAACGTAGGCCCTCCCTCCACATTTTTAACAAGTCTTCTAGCAAATTCTCTTTTGGACAGGGACTCTGGGTGTAGAAAATCATCTTATCTGAACAGGCATATGTGTAGAGTTTCTAATAGAGACAAAGGCGAAAAGTAGATATGGCATGGTACATGTCAGGACAGAAGCTGGCTGGGCCTGACCATGGTTTGTTCAATGCCAAGTTGTGTTTCTTAGTCTCCCATTCTTCCCACTTTCCATCGTGGACCCACCATATTCCTGGGCCAGTTAGAAGTTCCCATTGGTGACTGGACAGGTTCACTTGGCATCTGCCTCCATCCAGACAAAGCAATGCCCATGTGGGTGCTTCCTGATCCAGAGTGATAAATAGAATGCAAATATCTTCTAATACATGACCAGAGGGGATATGAGGGGTGGGGCCTCAGAGCTGTAACATTTTGCTTAGAGCTTCAGAGTTAAAGTTAAAGCACACTTCAAGGCTCTCCAACTTAAGGTGAGTAAAGTTAATTACCTTCAGATTGTCAATGAAAAAATAAAGATGGTAACTAGTGGACATATGACTGCTAATAATGATGTGATTTCACAAAGCAAAGAACACAAGAAAGTTTCTCTTGTGTTCTACTGATGACCAGTACTTTTCATGATCAGATTAATAAATTTATTTCCTGGAAATATTTATATTTTACATGGTTTGGGAAGAAAAAAAATTTTGTTAATAAAGTACAATTTTTTAGTTTTTAAAATCTCTTTTGATATAATTTTAAGTGTTTTATTCTTGGAAATATTGAAAAGTAAACCCATGTCCTTGGTGTTAAAGATTTGATCATGATCAGGGTCTGTGGGTGTTATTTAAAATGATGTCAGAGTTTCACAGTACTTTGGATAATTTAGTCAAACAACTGGTCACTTTGATGGAGAGAAATTTCAGTTGATCAGTTACTTCAGACATAGTGAGCTGTGTGGAGTTCCAATTTTTAAAAGTTTGATTCTATACAATTCAATTCAACAAATGCTTATAGAATGCTCAAGAAATAAGAATATTTTAAAATATATTTTATGGATTTCAGTGAGGAAAAGCGAGAGAGAGAGAGAGAGAGAGAGAGAGAGAGAGAGAGAGAGAGAGAGAGAGACATCAGTGTTGAGCGAGAATCACTAATCAGCTGCCTCCCCCAACCTGGGCATATACCATGATCGGGAATGGAACCATAACCTGCTGTTCCATAGGTTGACACTCAGTCACTGAGCCATGCTGACTGGGCAAGAAATAAGGAGAATTTTTATGAGGTGATCTGGAGGATAGTGTGAAGATGGTGAATGTATGATCTAGAGTAAGATTAGTAAAATGCGATAAAAATTAAGAATATTTATGAAAGTGAAAGCCAAACCAGTAGGAAAAATGTGCAGGTGTGTGTTTAGTTAAGAGCCTGCTTAGCTACTTTTCCTCTATAAATTTAAATCTAACTTTAAAAATTGTATCATTTCTAGTATCTTTGAATGAAATAGTGGAATAAAAATTATGAAAATAAAAGAGAACCTAGGTACAGGATGCAAATACTCATTTTAATTATTTTATTTAGGACGACAGTATGGATACAAAATCCATTCTAGAAGAACTTCTTCTCAAAAGATCACAGCAAAAGAAAAAAATGTCACCAAATAATTACAAAGAGCGGCTTTTTGTTTTGACCAAAACAAACCTCTCCTATTATGAATACGACAAAATGGTGAGATCCTATTTATTTCATTGCTATTAGACTATTTATTTTTCTTAAGGCTCCACAAAGTACTTAATTATAATGAAACAATATCAGGTTTCTTAGCTTACACAGTAAAAATCAACTTTCACTCAATTATCACATTTGTCTTTTCTTAACCAAGGTATAATTAATTCAAGAAAAAAGGATTTTAAAACTGGCTAACTTTGGGGGGTAAGAGGGAGAGCTCAACCAAAGGACTTGTATGCATGCATATAACCCTAACCAATGGACACAAACACCAGGGGGTGAGGGCATGAGTGGGGGGATAAGGACACATATGTAACACCTTAATCAATAAAGAAAAAAAAGGGAAGTCATAGAGAGACAGAGAAGCCTTTAAAGCAACGAACCTTTTATTTGTTTTCTGTAAAACACACACACATACAAAAAAAAAATGGCTAACTTTATAAAGACAAATTGCAAATCAGTGTTTCTCAACTGAGGGTGATTTTGCCCCCCAGGGGATATTTAACAATGGTAGGGGACATTTTTGGTTGCCATAATTGGTGGGAATAGTGTGCTACTGACTTTCACTGGGTAAAGGCCAGGGATGCTGCTAAATATTTTGTAATGCACTGGACAGCCTCCACCACAAAGAATTATCTGGCCTTAAATAGTGCTGAAAGTGAAAGATCCTACGTAACACAATGCTGAAAATCAGGCTATTTCTATAAAGTAGAAAAACTGAAATACTGTAATAAAATTGAAACAAAATGAAGATGCTTTGTGGAGTTAAATATTTTTATTATTTTGTTTATCTATATTTATATTTTATCCTATCTTTATTTATCTTTATTGCTGGAAGTATTACAGAAGTCACTCTTTCCCCCCCATTGACCTCTTCCAGCATGCTCCCAACCACGCCCCCCTCCTCCAGGCCCTCACCACCCCATTGTCTGTGTCCACTGGTTATGCATATATGCATATGAGTTCATTGGTTGATCTCTTCTCAGCCACCCTCCCTGAGTAGATTAACCACATGGTAGATGATTTGAAAAATGTTTCAAGATTATCAAACAAAATTATGAAGTGCTGCTTAAAGACTTGCTTTGGGAGGCATATATGAGTTTGTGTCTACACTTGAAAATATATTCTGCTATCATTGGATTTTTGTCTATTACAGAAGAATTCGAATGAGTCTCACATGCTCATCCCATTTCCCAATCTTCCTTCCAAGCATAACCTTAAGTTTATGTTTTTCTTTGTGCACCATTGTGTATCACACAAGATAGCTTGTATATATTTTTTAATTCAGAAAAGAGGTAGCAGAAAAGGATCAATTGATATTAAGAACATCAGATGTGTGGAGAAAGTCAATCTGGAGGAGCAGACCCCTGTGGAGAGGCAGTACCCATTTCAGGTAAGGGGAGAGGCAACATTCCATTGGATGGATGGCTCTTCTTTTAATATTTTATATTATGAACTCAATATAGTGGGGATAAATAAAGATGTTGCAAAATTATTCACTAGGACAATGACAAGACTTGGAACACTTCTAGATAGGAGTTGGGAGTGTGCCTACAGTACTCTTGGGAAGTGGCTTGAATTAAGTGAAGCCCTACTTTTATTACATCATGAATAGTTATCTTTCTGATGTAAAAGCAGATGGACTAACCTTCCATTGTCCAGAATACCTAGTGCTAGTATGAAAGAATTGTGGCCAAAAATGAGATAAAATAATCTGATTGCTGAACAATTTGTACTTCCTGCTTTAAAAAAAGATCATTACTCATTTGGGAGAAACCCGGGGAGTGTGTGTTCATAGAAGATGCTTTAAATTTGTCTCATATGGATATGAAGTACTTAAAAGACACAGGTTTTGGAGCTCACAGGGATCCTAGCCACTGCTTATACTTGTGTAACCATGGACAACATACTGTTTCTCTCTGGTTTATTTTTCACTTGAAAAATGGGCATAGTCATATTTTTTTTCACAAATTTGAAATAGGATTAAAATATTAAAGCATCTAGGAAAGATCTTCCAAACTAGTTGGTGTTTAACAAATCGTCTGTATTATTTCCTCCACAAAAGTGAATAAACTAGAGAAGGATCTGGGAGACATTGTAATCCTCAAACATTTAAACAAGTGTCTTAAGGAATAGAAAAATAGTGTGCTGGCCAAAACTGGTTTGGCTCAGTGGATAGAGTGTTGGCCTGAGGACTGAAAGGTCTCAGGTTCAATTCCGGTCAAGGGCATGTACCTTGGCTGTGGGCACATTCCCAGTGGGGTGTGTGTGTGTGTGTGTGCAAGAGGCAGCTGATTGATGTCTTGCTCTCTCATTGATGTTTCTAACCCTCTATCCCTCTCCCTTCTTCTCTGTAAAAAAACAATAAAATATATTTTAAAAAAAGAAAAATGACATGCTGAAGATTGTTAGAGTGGGACATGACTCAGAGAAATAAGTTCCAGGGAGACATGTTTTTACTCACTATAAGCATAAACTATACAATGATGAGACTATATTAAAATTGGTGAGGATGGCATAGTAGAAATGGAGGACATTCTATCCCTGAAAGTATTTTTTAATATATTTTTTATTGATTTGAGAGAGGAAAGGAGAGGGGAAGAGATATAGAAACATCAATGATGCGAGGGAATCATTGATTAGCTGCCTCTTGCACGCCCCTTACTGGGGATAGAGTCCGCAACCCAAGAATGTGCCCTTGGCTGGAATTGAACCTGGGAACTTCTAGTCCGCAGGCTGACACTCTATCCAAACCAGCTAGGGCCTAAAAGTATTTTTAAGAATACAGCAGCTAAACATTTTCCAACTGGCTGTAAAGGGATTCATGGATTGGGTAGGTGGGTAGACCAGAACACTAAAACACCTGTTATATCTAACATTTTATAATTTTTAAATTCTCTGCTGTGGTTTTCTAAAGTGAAGAGGTATCTGGAATAAAACACATTGAAAGGTGGAGGATAAAAATAATTAGATTTTTTTCTACCTAATTCCAGAGCTAATGGAATTATATAAGCAAACTCGAGGTCTCTTTTGAATAACAGAAAATTTACAGTTGCACCATAGTGAACTGTGATGCAATTCTAGCTTAATGCTCTCAATCTTTTCCTTTCCAGATTGTCTATAAAGATGGGCTTCTCTATGTCTATGCATCAAATGAAGAGAGCCGAAGTCAATGGTTGAAAGCATTACAAAATGGTAATTTTAAAGTCATCAAAGGGAGTCATCAATTGAGTTCTTTTGAGGGTTGGTGGAAGAAACACATGACAATAAAAGGACTCAATGCCAAGACAGAATCTACTGATTTTCCTACCAGCCTCAGAGAACATGCCGTGCTTGTCCTCATTTTGCATTCTTATTGTTACAGAGAGGAAGCTTGGGTATCAGATACCCTCTTGCCCCTTCCCTGCCCTGCACAGTGCTGGCTATTGTCCTTCCCGGCAGTTTGGAGGAAGCCAGGCCACCTGCTCCCCACCCACTTTGCTTGCCTTTCAAGGGCAAAGTCTAGTCTAGGTCCTTTTGGGGTTGCGTCAGGTCCTATAGTTACTGTACTTTGGATGTTTATATAAAGTTATAGCTAACACTTACTAAGCACTTATCATTTGCCAGCAACTGTATCAAGTACTTGGAAAACATTTTTCTTAGGTAATCCTCTTGACAACTCTGTGAAAATGGGTCATACTAGTCTCCATGTTTTCAGCTAAGTGAAATTAAAGAGACATGGCCAATGTCACATACCTAGCAATGGGGAACTCATAATTCAATTACCCAAATCCAACTTTTTAACCAATACAGTATATATGTTAGGCTGCTGGAAAATCTCAAGGTCAGAAACTAGTGTTTTAAAACTTAACTCCTTTTGTTTTCTGTGGTTTCTATAATTTATTTTTAAGTCTCATTAGCACTTATTGATGTTTCTTTTAAAAAATATATTTTTATTGATTTCAGAGAGGAAGGGAGAGGGAGAGACAAAAACATCCATGATAAAAGATAACCATGGATCAGGTACCTCCTGCATGCCCCCTACTGGGGATCAAGCCTGCAACCCCGGGCATGTGCCCTAACAGGGAATCGAACCTGTGACCTTCTGGTTCACAGGTCGATGCTCAACCACTGAGCCATGCCCACTGGGCAGTGACCTTTCTTTTAATGCCAGCCTTTTCAGGTAAGCTGAGCTGAATTAAGCTAAGTGAATACTACTACTAAAACCCTGTTTTCTGAACACCTACTCTGAGCCAAACACTGTGCTGGATGCTTTACATACAGTTTCTCAATAACCCAGCTAAGTGGTTATTATTCTCTTCATACACTTCCTTCAGTCAGGGTTGTAAAGGCAGAGCAGAATTCCCTTGGGATCAAAATAAGTCCTTAAGATGAATAAAAAATCAAGATGGAAAGAGTTGAAGCCGCATGTAGAACTAACCCTCTCCATCTAGAGTTTCTTCTTGAACTATTCTCTATTAAGACCTTGTAGATTTCTCTGCTGTTTTGAGAGGCACTAGCTTGCTGTAGACATCGTATTGCACTCTTACAATGTCATTTCTTTGGATTTCTTTGTTCTATTTCTATGGGTTTAAAATATGTACATATTCCTAGGAAAGTAACCCCATAAACCATTAATTTCTTAGTGTGAACAGTTCAAAGTCATGAACAATAAAATGAAAAACTTCTATATCAAGGGAAACTAGATAACTAAATGCCATGATTCTGGATTGGATCCTTGACCAGAAGAAAATGAATGATTATAAAGGATATTATTGGGACAATGAGAAAAAAATTGAATATGAAATATATATTAATTAATAGTATTGTATATGTGTTAAACTTCCTGAATTTGGTCATTTCATTGTGGTTATATAAAGGCATGTCCTTGTTAACATAAGTTACATGCTGAAGTATTTGTGAGTGACATTACTAAGGTCATAGTATCTGTACTTGCTTTAAAATTGATTTAAAATTTAAATATAATGTGCTGGAGGGTGGAGACAGCTGGGGAGAGGTCAATGGGGAAAAGGGAGACTTATGTAATACTTTTAACAATATAAAGAATTAAAAAATAAAATAATAAAATCTAAATAGATATAGAGCTATAGGTATCTATATATATATATATATATATATATATATATATATATATATATATATATATATATATTTAGAGAGAGAGAGAGAAAGAAAATGTGGCAAATGGTTAAAAATTGAATCTGGGTAGAGTATATGGACATTCATTATACTATTCTTGCTACTTTTCTGTATGTTTGCAATGTTTCAAAATAAAAAGTGGGTAGAATGCATATGCTTATTACAACCTTTCTTTTTCCTAATATCTAGTCCTATCCTCCAGCCTCTTTCTGCTATAAGAGCACACCATGCATGTGCTATAACATGCTTACTTCCTTTATGGATGTATTTCTAAAATCCTACACAAGCTGATCTTGTATCAATATGTATTTTCTACCAGTTATTTTTAAAGACTGATATAGTTATTGTGTTGTTCTTACCATATACATGGTTAGATTTTTTTTGTGTGTGGGGGGGTGCTTCTTAACTTCTAAGTGAAAGACATATCTTTTGGGAGCCATTTGCTCCTACCCTGGTTGCTGGCAAAAATGATGTTTTCATTGTTCTTTGATAACTGTACTAACTGAATGTGTTTTCTTCCTGCCTGCACCCCAGAGATAAGGGGTAACCCCCACCTGCTGATCAAGTACCACAGTGGGTTCTTTGTGGACGGGAAGTTCCTGTGCTGCCAGCAGAGCTGCAAAGCGGCCCCCGGATGTACTCTCTGGGAAGCATGTAAGGTGACCCCTCTATTGGGTGGGTCCTGGCGAGCTGTTTGCCCATTAGGCAAATCTGCCACAAGCCAAAACAGCTCGCCAGTTCAGGAAAACAATGTGTGCCAGATGGGTTGGCATCATGAAATCTCAGCCTCACAGATGCTATCTGAAAAATGAAGTCTCATTCTAGGGTCAGTTGAGTAATGTTTATTAAAATAATAACAATATGAACATCATCTGTCATTCTTTTACTCGATGAGGAATATTTTTCAAATTTGAATCCTAATTCAAGCAAGGAACTGTTTATTCCCTCCTATGATTCTTTTTTTTAAAGATAAACTCCAAAGAGATAGAACATGGTGACCATCTCTCCATGGTTCATAAATTAAACCATAAACTGCAAAAAATTTACTTTTTAAAATATGGCAACGAATAAAATTTAAGTAAAACTATTAATCACCATATATAACAAAATGATGGGTGGCCAAGTTTTAATATATATTTTTAAAGTAGTTTGCCATCCTCTACATGTTTGTTGACTTCTTAATAACATCAGAAGAGGTAGTAAAGGGTTCTATTCCTAGAGAAATCTACCTGAGACTTTATGTTGGGACAGAAAAGGAAGCACACGGAGTGGTTTTGAAGGGATAATGGACGGAGAGAATTATGTTATTTTCTTCTTGTGCCCTGGAGTCCCATTCCTTCACCAGGATACTTAGATGAGACAGTGTTATATATTTTAGTTTACCATTGTTTCATGGCATGAAATTGTCAATAAATAAAAACAGTTTTAGCAGCCTGAATAAAATTTGCTTGGATTACAATGACTTTAAATAATTGAATGAGATCAACTGTGTGATAAAACTTCATAAATTCTAACACACAGAGACATATGGAATGTTATCCACATTTACTTCATAACAGCATCGACACCTGACAATTATGTTAATGTTACTGCTGGTCATTTTACAACAAAATCAATGAATAAATATGCATTGTGTTTTCCATTTCAAGTAGACTGCACAATGAATATTTATTCATCTTAATGGGATCACGTTGCCCTTTATACTCTTGAATTGTGGTGATTTAATTAACTATTCAGAATTTATTGTATGTGGATTTTCCCTCCACTATGAGGGACTAAAGAATAATGTCTCCTTACAGCATTAATCATTTCCCCCAATTATTCTGTCCATGGTCTGATATCATTACCCAGCAGGACAAATTCCAATTCTGACCTTGCCCTAACTCCCAGGGGAAGATTGGGAGAAAGCCAAGAGAAAGCATTGCCTTTGGATTATCTTCCTAGGCTCCAGCTGGATGCCACCTGCCATGTGTTCTAGGTGCCACAGGCTCTTTCCCAGCCTCTGAAGAACCTACAGAATATAGAAGTATTCTGTCTCACAAGCAGCTGTAATATTGTCTATATGCCCAAGAATAATTTACTCTCTGGAATCCTTTGCTGAATTATAGGAAAGCCCCATGGGCACAGAAAGGAAGTGATGAGTGTCTTTGCTTCCTTCTGTCTCCAAAATGCCCTGGATCACCCTCTTTCCAGGGTACGTGTCCTAGGAAAAAGTTGACTATACATCCCAGTTTGTTTGGGATAGTCTCATTCTGCAGCTGGTGACCTGGTATAATTATATCAAAAGCCAAAAGTCAGGAGTGTTCCAGTATGGTCAATAAGCCACCCCATTGATAAGGCATATAATGGCTTCACACTCACCGCCTGGATATCTACCTATATGTGTGGGTAGAAAGATAAACCAACAATTATCTTAAGAATAGAAAAATGAATAAAACAGGTTTGTTCATTTATAAATCATCTATTTCTAAGCACTTTGTGTGAGTCAATTAAAGATGAATCAGACGTGAATTCTGAATCCTAGGGTCCTGGGTCCTTCCTAAGCAATTAGATATATAGTACTCAAATACAAGGTGGAAATTTAGTATAAATAAAGTTTTTAGGATTTAGAGGAACTTGACTCTTTTATCTATTTTGGGAGGGTACTGAAATGGTGGATGAGTGGTGTTTTATTTGGGTGTTATACAGGAAAACAACAATAACTCAAGATTTTGTGTCGAAATTTATTTAATCTCCAGTATTTCTTACATAAGCTATTCTTTTGAATCATAACATTAGATGTTTTGCTTTGTTTTATTTAAAGTTACTTCTAATATTACTTGGTTCTGTTTTTTAGATGCTGATCTGCACATTGCAACAAAGGAAGAGAAAGTAAAAGTTCCCACCTTCCCAGACAGAATGGTAAATCACCATTTAATTTTTCCCATGATCAGGGTATAATAAATAAATCAAGAGTTGCCAGATTCAAGGCTAGAAAATATGGGCTTCTTTCAAACTGCCAACAAAGAGAGAGAAACTGAGCCATCATCAATAGCAATGGCAATATCAAATAATAAATTCAAATACAGAACCATTTACCATTTTTTATTTTTATATTTAATAACAGGGCCTTTTTCTAACCTGTAAGCACATAAGTAGTCTCTAAAATGGTGCATGTGGGAGATAACATCACATATAACAGGCAGCTGTTACTAGCTATCATTCCTGAACTACCACTAGCATGGCCAAGACTGCGTCATGCAATTCTGGTGAAGGAATGAGACCACCTAGAGCACTAGCAGAAAACAACATAATTCTTTCTCTCCATTTTCCTTTCAAATCCCCTTGGAGGGTTTTCTTCTAGTCACTCTCAGGTAACATAAATTCCCCCAATTACCAGTAGTCATGAAAACAGCTTCTAATTGTCCCATCCAATGCGATAGTCACACAACTTTGAATCTCTTTCCAAGCTAAAACTTCTCCTTCACCTAGCTCAAGTCTGCATCAGAGAACAGCCTGCTTTAGGGAAAGGCTCGTGGAGGGGCTGAAATTTCTGACCTTTTCAGGGTTGGGGCCGCGGAAGAGCAGGTCTCCTGAAAAAGAGACAGTCATATATGATTGGTGCCATCATGCTTTGGTAGTGGTGGCTTTTCCAATGCTGATTCTTTATCTTATGGGAGACTTACGGATTTCCCACGGGAAATATGTAGTTTTATGACAGAGGAAATGTTTTGACCCTTAGCTCTTGGGATTTTAGCCCCCAACTTTTCTGCTGGGTCAATTCACCAATTTTGAGCAGAGATTTCAAGATGGCTTCCAGTTAGCCCTCTCCCAGGGGTGAAGTTGGCCTCCAGAAAAACAAACAAAACCTTGGATGCTTTACTTAGTGAAACTGTATGCAGCTTGCCCTCACAATACAGGTTGTTGTTCTCTTTTGTGCTCTGCTTTCTTGAGTTCCTAACCATAGTCTCCTGCTTTTAGTTTTCCCAGGTGGGCATCAGCCTCCTCAAATGCCAAGAGAGACATAAAATGGCCTCCCAGTGATTGTCTGGAAGCTCATCTGAAATTAAGGGTGCATCTCCAGCCACCCATCAGCTCTATGTTGTCTTGGATACTTCTTTTCAGTCTCACACATTCACACACACTACTTCTATCTTTCTAAGTAAAAACAATATAATTATTTTGTGAACCAACATGGACAAAAATTGAGTTAGGTCCCCCAAATTTCATGTTCACCCAGAATTTCAGATTGTGATCTACACAGGTTATTTGCAGATGTCATTAGTTAAGGACCAAGCTGAGATCATACTGGATTAGGATGGTCCATAAATTCAAGGGCTGTTATCCTTCCAAGGTGAGAGGACATAGAGATACCCAGAAGGCAGCCATTTAAAGACCTAGGAAGATATTGCAGTCACGCTGTCACAAAGCAAAGAATGTCTGGAACCACCAGAAGCTTAAAGAGGCGAGCAAAGATTCTCTCCTAGAGCTTTTCAAGGGAGCATGGTCATGCTGAAGCCTTGATTTTGGACTTCTAACCTCCAGAATTGTGACAGATTGTTGCTTTAACCCACCAAATATGCACTACGTTGTTAGGGCAGTCCTCAGGAAACTAATACAATTATTAAGGTTTGGGTGTGTGTTTTGTTATCAGTGATATTGCTGTTTTGTCTTGGATGCATGCTCCAGTCCTGAAGCTTAACATTACGGCCTAATGAAACACTAAGAGCAATGTCCAGACCAAGCAAGTTTATAGAGACAGGAGGTCAATTAGTGGTTGCCTGAAGACAGGGTGGGAATGGGGATTGCCTATAAATGGACACTAGGGTGATAGTAATGTCCTCAGACTGGATTGTAGGGATAGTTGCCCAATTGAATAAACTTACTAAAAGTCACTGAATTCTACACGTATAAAAAGTGAATTTTATGGTATATAAATTATATTCCAATAAAGTTTGTTTTAAACACAACTAAGAGCGGAGTCTAATTTAGGAGCCAGACATCATTGCATCTAGTGTAGGGCAAGGAATTCTTTGGGAAACATGTTGAAAATTATCAGTCACGCAAATCAGTGACCAAAGTCTGTTTTGATTATAAGCTGCCCTAGGGATCAGGGGTCAGAGAGAGTATTGTGAAAAGTATGTTTTCCTTTGTTTCATTGTTCAGTAGAGGACTTACTGAGATGACAAAAATTAAAATTTGCTTTCTAGCTATTCTGTTCCCTATTCTGTTTAGGGAACTTTCCATTGCATTTGTCTTTGAAAATAACCACCCCAAGCTCATAAATTGCAGTTTCCTGAATAACTAAAATTTCCAGGATGCTATGCCCTGGAAAAAAGTAAAATAAAATGTGGAAAAATAAAAATTCAGTGTATGTATGTAAAATGGAAATTTCTAAATGAAGTATAACATGCACTTAAAAGAGTATACAAGTCCTAAATACGTTTAGTTTGATAAAGTTTTATAAACCGAACACATCTTTATAACCCACATTCACATTAAGAAACAGAACATCACAGAACCCTAGGAGTACGTACCCTCATGCTTCCTTTCAGTTACTACATTCCACCAACAGTAATCAATAGCCTGATTTATGGCATTATGGATTATTTGCCTGCTTTGAACCTTTATGTAAGTGGAATCCTATAGTTATTTATTATCTGTCTTCTTTTGTTCAATTTATGAGATTTTCTCATTTTTTATTATGTGGTTATAATTTATTCTCATTGCCATATAGAATTCCAGTGTGTAAATATGCCACTGTATTAGTTTCTTTTTGTTGCTGTTATTAATCCTCACCTGAGGATATTTTTCCCATTGCTTTTCAGAGAGAGAGAGAAAAGAAAAAGAGAGAGAGAGAGAGAGAGAGAGAGAGAGAGAGAGAGAGAGAGAGAGAGAGAGAGAGATGGGGTTAAGAGAGACACATAGATCGGTTGCCTTTCAAGTGAGACCCGTCCTGGGGGTGGGGGGTTGGCGAGCAATCCTGCACCCCAGATATGTGCCCTTGACTGGGAATCAAACCTGCAACATTTTGTTGTATGGGCCAACATTCTGACCACTGAGAACACTGGCCAGAACTCACTGTATTAGTTTCTTACTGCTGTTATAACAAATTACCACAAATTTAGTGACTTTAAGCAACACAAAATTATTATTTTGTAGTTCTGAAGATCAGAAGTCTAAAATGGGTCCACATAGCTGTGTTCCTTCTGGAGATTTTAGGGGGAAATCTATTCCAGCTTCTAGAGACTATCTGTGTTTCTTGGTTCCTGAACCGTTCTTCCATCTTCAGCGCCAGGAGGGTAGCATCTTCTCTTTCCTTTCTGATCTCAGCTTCCATACACATATTTTCTCTTAATCTCTGACTTTCTTGATTTTCTCTTATAAGGGCCCTTTTGATAATCAAATTGGACCTACCCCAATAACCCAGGATAATCTCTCCACTACAAGATCCCTAAATCAATCACATTTACAAAGTCCCTCTTATCATGTAAGATAACATATTCACAGGTTCCAGAGACCAGGACATGAACATCTTTGGGAGAACATTATTTAGCCCATTATAACCACAATATCTTTAATATTTTATCCTGATAAAATTTAGGTAATTTCCAGTTTTATCTAACTTAAATAATTCCACTATAAGCATTCTTTTACAAGTCTCTTGATTTCTTTGTTGGGTATGTATATAGACTTTCTAGATCATAGGGCATGTGCATGCCCAGCTTTAGTAGATTCTGTAAACAGCTTTTCAATATGGTTCTACCACTTCAAACTCCAACCAGCAAAGTTGACAGTTTCTGTTTTATTACTACCTTCATTCCTCTTTTTGCTTTCATTCTATTTTTTTGTCTTTTGTTTTCTCTTTTCCCCTTTGCTCCCTTCTTTCCTCTCTCCCTTCTTCCTGCCTTCCTTCACTCTTAACTTCCTTCCTTTTTAATTTAAAACCTGATATACCTTGGTTGTTAGTTCCTGATACATGAATCTGTGAGTGTGTTTCACTGTGATCTATTAATATATATTATCCTCCAAAGCTGAAGATTCCTCGAGCAGTTCCTATTTTCAAAATGGATGAACCATCTTCAAGTACCGTTCTAGTCCAGTATGACAGTGACTCAAAGAAAAACTATGACTCACAGCCAAACGTCAATATGCCGTATGTTCCAAGGGAAGATTGCCCTGACTGGTGGCAAGTAAGAAAACTGAAAAGGTAAACCTCAGCTCTCAGTCTGGTTTTCCATCAGGTAGAACAAACATTACACCACTGCCTTGGACCTCAGTCTCAAAGGACGACACAGGCTTTAGCTGAGATAGGCTTGTCCTGTTACAAAATGTTCACTGTTTGAGCCAGAAGCCCCACTGGGACTGAGCAGCACAATATTTCCATTTATTATAGTCTATCCAATCTAATGGTCTAAGTAATACTTGAGAATTTTATTCCATATTCTTTCTTTCCCCTTCCCTCCTAATAACCCCACACTCCAGAACTCAGAATATTTAAATTATGTCCTTTAGATTAAGAGAGTTTAGACTGGGCTGACTTATAAAGTGCTTGGGCATCACTGGCCAAATGACAAGTAGAATTTCAAGCTTGCCTCTTGAGGATGTGATTAGTCTCCTCATGTTGTTGTGTGTGTTTTTTTTAAATAAATCTTTATTGTTCAGATTATTATAGTTGTTCCTCTATCCTCCCCCCACACATAGATCCCCTCCACCTGGTTCCCACCCCATCCCTTGCCCTTACCACCCCCCATTGACCTCATCCATAGGTGTAATATTTTTGTAAAATCTCTTCAGACAGCTCCACACCCTCTTCCCGCTGAGAATTGTCAGTCCATTCCCTTTCTATGCCCCTGATTCTATTATATTCACTAGTTTATTCTATTCTTCAGATTTTTTATTCACTTTTTTTTTAGATTCACTTGTTGACAAATATGTATTTATTGTCACTTTGTTGTTCACAATTTTTATCTTTACCTTTTTCTTCCTCTTTTTAGAGAATACCCTTTAGCATTTCATATAATACTGATTTGGTGGTGATGGACTCCTTTAGCTTTTTCTTGTCTGTGAAGCTCTTTATCTGACCTTCAATTCCGAATGATAACTTTGCTGGGTAGAATAATCTTGGTTGTAGGTTCTTGCTATTCATCACTTTGTATATTTCTTGCAGCTCCCTTTTGGCCTGCATAATTTCTGTTGAGAAATCAGCTGACAGTGATATGCGTACTCCCTTGTAGGTAACTGTTTTTCTCTTACTGCTTTTAAGATTCTTTCTTTGTCTTTTGTCCTTGCATTTTAATTATGATGTGTCTTGATATGGTCCTCTTTAGGTTCCTCTTCTTTGGGGTTCTCTGTGCTTCCTGGACTTGTAAGTCTATTTCTTTCACCAGGTATGGGAAGTTTTGTCATTATTTCTTCAAAAAGGTTTTCAATATCTTGCTCTCTCTCTTCTTCTGGAACCCCCATAATTCGGATGCTGGTACGCTTGAAGTTGTCCCAGAGGCTTCTTACACTAACTTCATATTTTTGGATTCCTTTTGCTTTTTGCTTTTCTGGTTGCGTGTTTCTTGCTTCTTTGTATTTCAAATCTTTGACTTAATTCTTGGGATCCTCTAGTCTGCTGTTGGATCTCTGTATATTATTCTCTATTTCAGTCAGTGTATGTTTAATTTGATTGGTACTTTTTTTATATCTTTGAAGGTCTGACTAAATTTCTCAGAGGTTTCTAGAAGATTCTTGAGTAACCTTATAACTGTGGTTTTGAGCTCTATATCCAGTATTTTGCTTTCATCTATTTCTTTCATTTGTGACTTGTTTCTTTGTCTCTGCATTTTGGCTGCTTCCCTGTGTTTGTTAATATGTACTGGGTAGCTGCTAAGTCTCCGTGTGTTAGTAGAGTGGCCTTGTGTGGTTGGTATCCTATAGGGCCTAGGGTCTCAGCCTCCCCAGTCACCACAGTGGATGTTCTTGGTGCACCCCTCAGTGGGCTGTATGCACAGTCTTGTTGTAGTTAACTCTTGATTGCTGTTAGTATCACTGGGGGGAATTGACCTCCAGGCCAATTGTCTGAGATGACCAGCTGTGTCTACACTGGAAGATCTGTTTCGCAGAACCCACCCTTATGGGGCAGGACTTGCTTCAATAGGGCTTTGGTGCTCACTGAGTCTGCCCCCTGACATCTCTTATGGATGTGAAGAGTTGTAATCCGATATGGTCTCACTTTGACCACTGGGTACACTGGCTCTTGGATCTCCAAGACGATGCAAGGTCAGCCACTGTCTGAGGCTTCCCAGCAGGAGCTACAGAGACATCTGCAGATTCCTCCTCTTTTTATGGGGTTTGGAAGTGCCCAGATGAGGCCCAGCTATAAAGCAAGGCCGCTACTGCTGCCAGGTAGTGAACCTTCTTCTGGAATCTCTGGGGCTCTCAGACCCAGCTGCAGTTTGTTTTAGGTGAAAAACAGGCAATTCATATGAAAATGATGGGGGGGGGGGGAGGGCGAATCACCAGGGTGGAGCAAATAACAATGGCTGCCCTGAACCTGAGAAGTCCCTGGTTCTCCAAGTCCCATGGACTTGATACCTGCAAGCACCTCTAAGAGTAATCCGCCTTCATGTTCCTTTCCAATTCCAGATAGTCCAGTTTCTCCTCGAATGTGCCTGGGTCCCTCAGAGTTTCATCAGGAACTGGAGTTCAGAGCAGTCAGGAGTTTGTATCTTCTTCCTGGTTTAAAAAGCATCACATCCAGGTGCAGCACTTTTGGTGCCTCTGCACCTCTTACCGTCTCAATGATCTTTCTTCACCTCTCTAGTGGTGGAACTTCCTCTCAGCCAACTTTCCTGTGGTTCTGGGTGGTAGTTGTCCTGCTGTTTAGTTGTGGTTTTGATGTGGTTGTGAGAGGTAGCAAGTATAGGTGATTACCTATGCCACCATCTTGATTTCTCTCAGTCTCGTCATGCTTTTAAAGAGAGGCTACCTAAAGCCAAAATTGAAACTACCTTGAAGACAGTACCTAAACTGTATATATCACTGGGGTTTAGTACTAAGTCAGCCCCACACTTGATGCTCGCTAAATATAAAATTGAATTGTAAGATGACAATAGAGAAAGGGTCAACTGACTACCCTTCCTTATGTGCTTCCTTATATTTCTTCCCCATCATGCTATTCACTGTCTGACATCTTGTCGCCCAGTTATTAGCATCCCTCCAGGGTGCTGATGTTTGTATTTCTCCACAAAGCATGCAGAGAATCTCTCTGACTCACCGTGTATCTCTTTTGTATTCTTCTTTGTCCTTTTATTGTTTTATTCTTTCCATCTTCACCATTTTTACCTAAAGAAAAAGCCTCAGTGTACCAATGTGCAGCCATAGGGGCTCTATGTAACTTGAAAGGACATAAATGTGTTCTTGCTATTTTCTTCAGTATAACAAGTTATGGTATCTTTCATTCCAAAGTGGAGATAGAATCCAAGTGTATTCATCTATAGCTGGTGTCTGAGGACAGAAGTTACATTTATTTGCCTAAAGCCTAGTGTTCTTGGAAGGAGACAATAAGCCCAGATTCAAGGAGGGTGAATGTCTTATAAACTTTGTGCCAGGTCCCTCCCTGCCAGAGGCCCAAGTGATTCATCGAGGGAGGTGTGCAGTGAAACGGACTGACCAGTATTCAAATAAGTAGTCAGCACTATTGATTCACATGGAGTTGCTGCACAGCTACCAACTCAAAGATTGCCAGATTCTAGCTTTGTTTAAAATGTTGGCATTTTGTTCATCATAAATGTTTGCATTAATTTTTATTTTAAAATATTTTGTGAAAACACTGTTTATCTTGGTTACTGAGTTTTTTGACACACCCTTAGCTTTTGCACCCAAGATATGGTCCCAACTATAGGTTTTTCCCTAGAACTTCAGGAAACTAGCTATCTGATCAAAGGATTAATTAATTTTCTTAGCATGAACAGCATTGAATCCCCTATGGATGAATTATAATAATGACTAAATGCTCTTCATGGAGCTTGAATTGTAAAAATACAGTCATGATTCTCAATTATTATAAGTACATCTAACTTTTCTGTCATTCATACTGTTTTAGCCTGAGCTGCTTTTTACTCTGTTTTTCTGAGTAGTAAAATAATCCATGCTCTAATTAAAGCATTTAAACATTATAGACTCTTCAATGTATAGTCCCCTAAAATGTTTTGATGCATGTTGAGATATATATATATATATATATATATATATATATATATATATATAATTAAAAAATCAGGTTCTTACTATATATAATTTAAAAAATCAGGTTCTTACCATGAAGTTTTCTTTGCCACTTGCTCTATTTACCTAACATCTTAGACATTTTTCCCATTTGCCTACATGAAGATATACTTAATTTTTAATTTAAAAAATGTAATTATGGTACAACATAACAAATTTTACCTTTTTAGTCATTATTAAGTGTACAGTACATTAGTGTTGCTGTGCAACCTACCTCACTATTTTTGAATGTCTATATAGCAATCCATTATATGGACAAACTTTTTAATTAAAAAAATTTAGTTGAAAATTTTAACTATATTTTTAGCTTTTTAAATATGGATTTTCTTCTGAAGAGATGAAGTGAAAAAGCTATGCTAGTGAGCAAGGATGTTTGGGAAGGCGGAGAGGGAGGCACTCCTGGAAATGGAGCCAGAGGGACATTTCCTTGTTAAGAAAACTTGTCAGTTATGAAGTGTGATTTTTGAATAAGAGCCTGGCATATTAAGGCAAACAGGAAATAGGTATTACATTCCAAGTAAAACAGATTTTGAACTTAGAGAAGTCCTCATGTTCTGTTTAACACCCAAAATGAAAGAGAAAAGGATGGATGACAGAGGATGATAAAAATCTTGCTGATCCATCTGTGTCCACATGGAGTTAAAAGTTTAGTATTTTCAAGACTTTTAATTCCAATCACAACAGAAAAGAAAAAAAATAACCTATTCTAAACATAATGCTTGCATATATCTCTAAGAAAAGCAGGACAAAACCGGTAAAGATGATTTATTAATCCAAACGTCCTATTGTTTGGGGCCTATATGAGCCATTATGAACAATTTGCTTTTGTCTCTAAGTACTGTCAAACTACTGCTTTTTATTGGAGACCCTGCAAGGACAGAAATGTAAAAATCACTCATTAGCTTAAATTTCTAAACCAAGTGAAACACATGGGTTGCAATGTTCAATAAAGTTAAAGCATATCTAACAAAATTACTTTTGTCATTTAACACTTAGAAATAAATATAAATTTATGAAATGTACCTCCTTTTTTATAGCAGTGAAGATTTTGCATTCAGCAACCAAAGAGAAAAAAATGTGAATCACGGTACCTCAAAAATTTCATGGTATGTCAAATTTAGATAGTCCTTTACACACTGGGGATTTATTTTCATCTGCAAGAAAACTAACCAAATTTGAAATAATTTTGCAACTAGACTTAACATTTAAAGTAAATCCCCCAAATCTATGTAGTTTGCTTCTCTGAACCCTTAAATTGGCATGACTTGATAACTTGTGGGTTACCATTACCCTCATTCTGATTTTTCACTTGCATCATTGGTGATGCACACTGATGTTAACAGGAACACTAATATGCCTGGCTCAGGCATCTCTAGCAGGAAGAAAAATAACCTAGAGTTGAATACTAAGAATAGTTCTATACACAACCTGTGATGTTTTTTTAACTTTATATTACAGCTGTCCCTGAAGGTATCTTCATCTATTTCATGAGCCCACTTTTCTGAAAGGCTCGATGAAATCCACCTTCCTGGAGAGTTCTTGTATCAAACATCCATTTTCTCATTAAACTAAGCATGAACTCAGTTTTTGAGTCACTCTCTCTTCACCTTGCTGATACCTTCCCAAGTGCACAAAGGGAAACCTAATAGCCTACATTTCGTTTGCATGGATGAAAGCAGGGTAGGATTTGATATTTTACTGCTAGATACTCGGATCATTTCTTGGAGCTTCTTAAAATTCATTTTGATTCTTCTCTTCTTAAGGGGATTCACTGAGTCAAGTTCATCTGAAGAAGAGGAAAACCTGGATGACTATGAGTGAGTTTGGAAATTTCTCTGTATATCTCTACAACTAGACGGAGATGTTTCTATTGTATTGCAGAGATCACCTAGAAGGAGGCTAAAGGTTCTTAAATGCCAGCCCAATTAAATTTAAAGATATACAGGTCCTATCCAGAATCATGATTTGGGGGGTAGAGATTCAAAAATCTATATTTCTGAAAAGTTCCCCAGGTGATTCTCCGGAGCAGCCAGGTTTGAAAATCCCTGATCTAGGCCAATGTCTCAATTTACAGTTAGAAAGCTAGATGACAAATTATGCAATTAAACATTACTAATTGTCAAATATTGAATTCTTTCCTATTGCAGTTGGTTTGCAGGTAACATCTCCAGATCACAAGCTGAACAGTTACTGAGACAAAAGGTAAATAATCTGGTCTTTAAAATAGCACCTAAGAATGTCTTTCTATTGTTGGGTAATGCACTTCTTACAGAAACCTTAGTGCTAATTAGGCATCACATCATCATAGTGTTAGTTTTCCAGCCTATAGGTTACCATGCCCTTCACATATAGCCACTTCCTCTGTTCCCATTATCTATTTGTGTAATAAGTCACTTCAAAATGTAATGGCTTCAAACAACAACGTTCATGATTTCTCACAATTCTGCAAGTGATTAAGTTGAGTCAGCAGTTTTTATGCAGGTTTGGTATAGTGTCTCTCATGTGGATGCAGTCACTGGGGGAGAGGGAGGTGTTGGGATTAGCTGAGGCAATCAACCTGGATGCTATAGTTCTTCTCCATGTGGCTAAATTGGGTTTCCTTACAGCATGGTAATCTCAAGGCAATGGTTGAAGAGGATGAGCCCTACAGTTCCGTGCAAACATTATCAAGTCTCTGGGTGTTTTTTTTTTCTTTCATGTTTGCTAATGTCCCATTGGCCAAAACAAGTCACATGACCCAGCCAAGAATCAATGTGGGAGGGGACTTCACTAACTTGGTATTTTAACAGATTCTTTGTTTTTTATTTACTCTTTCTGAATGTGAATTTGTTTAGAATTAACACAAGTTCTTACGAAAGAAATTGAGCGTAGAACTAAAAGATTTGTTCTATACCTTTAGTTTTCTAAAACTTTTAAGAGTATGATATGATGACATGTGCATTTAGATTTTATTTCTGAAAGATTAAAACATTAGGCTTACATAAATACAAAACAGAGAAAATTATCAGGAAGTATTCAAAGTTAACTGGTAAGAAAGAGTTGAAGCACACAGGGTAGATCTTTCCAGAAACTGAGAAAAGAAAGAAGTTACACTGTGGGCCCCCTTCTGCACCAACTATTGAATAATCTGTGTCATCAACGAGATATAAAGTGAATCTATGAGAAGGGTCTCTTACATTTGCAACAGTATGAATGGACCTGAAGAGTATCATGCTAATTGAAATAAGCCAGTCAGAGAAAGATAAGTAACACATGATCTCATATGTGGAATCTAATGAACAAAATAAAGTGACGAATAAAATAGATTCAGAGACATAGAACCATGGAACAGACTGGTAAATTTCAGAGGGAATGTGCGGGTGGAGAAGTGGGGGTGGGGAAAGATTAACCAGGGAATTTATATGTATATATGCATAGCCCATGGACACAGACAATAGGGTGGTGAAGGTTTAGGAGAGGTGGGTGTGGGGAGGAGAGTGTCAATGGGGGGAAAACAAACAAAGGGGACATCTGTAATACTTTCTACAATAAAGAAAATATTTCTAAAAGAAAGATACAAAATAAGAAAATAAAGTGAATCTGAAAGATCTAGTTTCCTACTGCCTACCAGAAAAACAAATCATTTTCAAGGACAACAAAAATGTTTTCCATTTCTTTTTATTTTCCTTCCTTTTCAGGGAAAAGAAGGAGCATATATGGTTAGAAATTCCAGTCAGGTGGGAATGTACACAGTGTCTTTATTTAGTAAGGCTGTGAAGTAAGTATGACATGGATTTGCTTTTTTAAAATTTTCTTGTGTATTCTTTGAATATGTTGATCATTTAGTCATCGTATTTAAACTCTGGAATTTTAGGTCAAAGTATTTATGTTGAATGAGACTATTTGTATTGGCCTTTCTCCCCGCTACTTCCAAGAGGCTGTCCTCAGGGATCCTTTCCTGCCTATCCCAGGTGGCAGCAAAGTGCCCAATGCACAGGATGCGTCAGTAAATGTTAAAGGAATTCTGGGTTACTCCTCTCAATTCAGTCCCAAGCCTAGAAATAGAAAAATAGCAGTAGAGCCTCTACATTGTTGGTCCTGGCCACAAGCTGGGCTGAAGTTAGTAAGTTTTTACAGTTGGTGCAGTTAGCAAAAGGTGAATCGGTGTAGCTGTGTTCCCCAGATAGTTTCTTTCTAGGATGCTGGCCTCTCCATGGGGTTATGAGTTCTGATTTGAAGCCACTCCTCAGGTTCCAAATCCTGATTCTACCATTTATAAAGCTTTCTGGCATTGAGAAAGTTTCTTAAACTCTGGGCCTCAACTTCCTTATCTGAAAATGAAACAGAATAATGCTTACTATGTTCCATGAATAAAACAATTTTGTGTATCAGATCAGAACAGTGCCTGGCATATAGTAAACACTCAATAAACTAGTAACAATTACTATTATTGTTGCTGGGAAAGAGTAATTCGACCTGCTCCACCACCTCCATCCCAACACCTAGGCATAAAAGACTTCCACAGTCATCTCATGCAAATCATCCTTATCAACATCAGGATACCACTTCCGTTTCACAAGCCTCTTTCCCATTGGCTGTCAGCTCTTTTTTTCCTTCTAATCATACTGTGAAGCAAATAGGAAAGCTGTTTTCATTTGCACCATTTTGCAGATGAGAAGACTGAGGTTCAAAGAGAGCTTATGAAGACCCATCCACAGATTAATAAATGTCAACTTGAAGCTGTGCCTTTAACAGCCCCAAGTTCATGTTCCTTCAACCACACTTGTTTCTACACTGAAACTCCAAATTTTCTGAAATAATAATATGAACAAAAAATTTGAACAATTTTTTTCTTTTAATGGTTGGATTGAATGACCCTCTGCCCTGGTGTCTTCTCCATGTGTCGTGCCCTGTGGTGTTTATATGTATTTTTGCAATAATTAAGTGATTAAAAGTTATTTTACTTTTAGAAGACTTTTACAGAATTTCTATCTCCAATTTGAGAGAATAGGATGTATTTTAAGCAGTCATCTGGAACTTTCCAATGCCAGAATTCCTTGATGCATCTCGTGTACTAGCTTGCACATCTGGATGCTGGCTGAAGCCAACTCAGTAAGAAGTGGTAAAAGACTTGGTTCACCAAATATCAAAAGCTCTGTGGCCCTCTGCTCCTGCAGTTTTAGCCAAACCTGATATCAGAAGTCTTTCTAGTCAAGTTTCTTGATACCAGATTTGTTCTTGAAGGTTACCAGGTAGAAAAAAATCAGCAGATGGATAAGAAATCAAATTAAAATAATCAAATCAATGAATACAGAAGCCTTCTTTTACCAAACACCATCAATGGGCTTGAATGAGTTTCAAGCCCATTGATGGTGTTTGGTAAGAGCTGGTGAGCCATTTGCAACAAGAAAGTACCCTTTTTCCCTTTTATAATTGCAGTTTTAACTAGGCTGGCATTGCAACAAAATTTATTAGCAGTGTCTTATGTGCCAACCATAATTCAGACTGGTATGTATATAATCTCCCCAATCTTTATAACAAACAAATAAGGTAGCCAGCAGGCAGTTCTTAACCACTCTGCAATCCTCTCAAATCTCAGACATATTATTCCTGGTTAGCCTAAATCAGTTAGTCTAATTTACCATTGTCTTCTAAAAGCAGAGCAAAAGAAAAATGTTTTATGTACAAATGGTACAAGTTTACATGAGGAATTAAGGGACACCCCCACACACTCCTGTCCATTCCACTCCCCCAGAGAGCCTCCTACCCATCCATACTCCAGGAAAGAATACCCACAGCCTAATCACCATTACCTCCCACATTTTAATTTTCATTATTACCATTAAAAAGATTTACTGTTTAGAATAATGGTCCTGGAAAATTGCAGGGCTTTCAATCATCAAAAGAAGATTCCAGCTTTATACTTACTAAGGGAGGAACAGTCTAGAAAGTTGGAATTTTATTGTACATGAATTCTGTATGTGCACAAAGGATATGTTGAGTTCAGAGAATAGCCCTCTTTCATAATTAGTAATTGTTATAAATACCTCCAGAAAAATGCCAGATATCAAGATTAGGAAACCCTCTCTGACTCCCCTCTCCAAAATTTGCAATTACACCTAATATAATTAACCATCATGCCATGAAGCTTCAATTGTTTATTTAAAATGTTCTAACAGTCTTTCTTTTTATTAGTGATAAGAAAGGAACTGTCAAACATTACCATGTGCATACAAATGCTGAGAACAAATTGTACCTGGCAGAAAACTACTGTTTTGATTCCATTCCAAAGCTTATTCGCTATCATCAACACAATTCAGCAGGTAATTTATTTCAGTTTTTCTTTTATGGGTCTTTGTTGATAAATAATAGTTTCCTTGGATGCTACTGATCCTCCTAATATTCCAAATTATATAGGGAACTATGAAAGTAAGGGAAAAAATGTTCTCAAGCTCTATGCCTGCTGTGATTTTTAACCCATATTTCCTGGAATATACCATTATACACTCTATAATGCCAGAAAATTTAAGCTGAGTGAGCTGAATGACTTAAAACATAGAAATTGTCTTTATAATAATATTTGCAGTTTTTTTCTGCCTAAGGAGTTGATTGCAAAATTCAAACATTATAGATATAGATATAGTAGGTTATCTCTCCTATGATACACAAGTTGGTGTCTGTTCTGAAAGAATTTTTTCTATGATGGTACTAACACTTATTGTTCATTATTTGTATACATGTATATGCATAAATAGATACATTATATTTTTACTGAGATGAAATCATTCTACACATGCCCCTTTCCAGCTGCTTTCTTTATTCAACATGTCTTGGAGGTCTTTGCATGCATATATGTATAGCTTACTTTGGTCTATTTAACAGCTATAGAGAAATCTATTATAGAATTACTTCATAAGATATTTACCTAACCCTATATTGATCAACAGTTGGATCATATGCACTATTTCCCATTACAATTAGTATTTCAGTGCAGTCCTGCCAATATAGCTCAATGCAACTATATGGGTGTTTCTTTAGCCAAATTCCCTAGAAAGGTAATATATATATATATATATATATATATATATATATATATATATATATGGCTAAGTTACATGACTATCTCACTGGCTGATAGGTAATGCAAAAGCTGCTGAGCTGTGGTGACTTGGCAGCAGCAGTTCTTGGGTGATGCAACTGGAACCAGAGAGAAGGGAGCCCAATTCTGGGGTGCATCACCGGAGAACTGTACTCTTGCAATCCTGGCCAAGGGACCCTGCCTGATGGAGGGACCACACTCACTCTGTAGATGCCCACCCCAGTGTGCCTGTCCTGGAAGGGACTGGGGGAGGTTGACTCAAGGGCATGTCCAGCCCATCTCACCCAGTCCTCCCACCTTCTAATTAATTTCATTTCAATGCGCATGAATCTGTACACCAGGGCACTAGTTTCTGAGATAATGGTTAAGAATGTTTAAAATTTAAAGATTGTCAAATGCTTTTCAGAAATGTACACTCCCACCAACAGCAACAGCCTTCTTCTTCACCACATATTTTCACCGAATTTTGTCTGATTAGCAAAACTGTTTATATAAATCTCTCCTAATGGAAGTGTTAACTAACCTAATTGTGGTAAACATTCCACAATATATACATGTACCAAGTCATCACATTATACACCTTACAGTTATATATGGTATATGTAAGTAACATCTCAATAAATGTAGAAAAAAAAGAAGTTAAAAAAAAGAAATTCCCTCTAAATGTCTTTTCAAGAATAGTGTCACTTAGAGGCAGTGCTTGGATGAATTTCCAACAGTGAGTAATAATAAACTGTGGGCTCAGAGTCAAATCGTGCAACTTTACCCAACCTAATTACATGCACATTAAGCGAATTGGCCTCACTCCTCACTTTAATTTTGATTCCTACTTGAATTTTTCTTTTGCCCCAATTTCATCAATTATTTTAACCTGTAGTGCCTCAAAAGGACCCTTGGCAAGGGATTATATAGACATCTCCAAGTGTGATGATTCCTCTTCAGAGCATGCACAAGCAACCCCACACGATATAAGAAAAAAAACACACACACACAGTAAAATGTTTATTTAGATTAGTTTTTAAAATCTCATTCTATTAAGTTTACTATTTGTGAGGACACTTTATGATTCAAATACTGTATCAATACAGCAACAATTGGGTACATGCATATTTTGGAGGAGTGCACTATTATTATTGTTACAATTAAAGGTGTAAAATTTAAAAAATTTGAGGACCACTCATATAAAAAGTAAATAAATATAGAAAAATAAAGGAGAGACAGTTTCTAGGACTTGAAAAGCCTCACACAATTAAAGCAACAAACATATTTTTTGAATGAGTTCTCTCAAGCCACTATAAATACTATAATTATTTTAATCCTGCTTTATCATAACTTGATGTAAACAACCAAAATGACTTGACAGTTTAATTTTTTTAAATGGTTTACTTTTATTTTGTACCCCTCTGCACTTTGAAAAATTTTTTTTTACCAAATGTGTGGGTTGTGTTTATACATATTTAAATATAGAACTATAAAAAGATAGCAACATGTAAGTGGGAAATTTTTTTAATGAAAAACTCTATCAAGCCACTCACTTTGATGGGATTTTCAAGATGACAAAGTGGTTTTATTATTTTAATTTTTGCTTTACTCTGAGCTAATTAGTCAAGCAAGCTGATACAACTACAGGATGACTATGATCAGAAAGGATTCATTCTCTGCATATCACACCCTGAACTCTGTTTTTCCAGCTGCTCTGGAGAGAGTATACGCAGAGGTGTGATGTGATGTAATGTGATGTGATAATATAATGCTGATTCTGTTGCAGGCATGATCACACGACTTCGCCACCCCGTGTCAACCAAGGCCAACAAGGTCCCCACCTCCGTGTCTTTAGGAAATGGTATGGACATACATTTTGGCTCTTACATTTCATTTCCTACATTTTTTAAATTAAAGTGTACATATAGCCCTAGCCGGTTTTGTTCAGTGGATAGAGCAAAACTGAAGGGTCCTAGGTTTGATTCCAGTCAAGGACACATGCCTGGGTTGTGGGCTCAGTCCAACATAAAGGAGGCAGCCAACCAATAATTCCCTCTCATTGATGTTTTTTATGTTTCTATCTCTCCCTTCCTCTAATATATATATATTTACTGGGGGGGGGGGATAGGGAAGACAGGAAGGTTATCCTTGTCAGATTGTGCCAGGGAGGGCTTCAGCTCTAATATATTTGTTCATTTTCTAAAAACAACTTTTCTGTTCTCCCAACTTAACTCTGTAATCTTTCCAGCATTTGACAAAAAGATTGTCAAAATTTTTCTTTTATTAGATCCAATCATCAGCTTCTAGAGCCCCATTACCTGTTAGTTCTTCTTCTAGGATTCTGTGCCTGGAAGAAGGGGAGCCAGTTTTCACCCTTGTGTATTTAGGATAATGACATCCACCCAAATCACATATTTAAGAAAATATGATATTTTACCAAGCTAAGAGCATCGGCACACTTTGACACTGAGTCTTTCCATGATGTCTCTGGTAGGCAAAGTGGCCATGATGCCTCTGATAGGCAAAGTGGTTTTACTGTAAGCTTTCTTTTCAATGATTATAGCTGCTTTGAGAAATATATTGTCTTATTGGCATTACCATGTGGCCTAATAGGTCATAAGACCACATTACTAAGGGTTTTTTAAGTGGTCAACTAAAAATTCTTGCTGTTCTTCATATTGCCACTATGAAACTGTTGCTGGGGAAGAAATTGCTTGGGAAGTTGATAGCCCCAAAGCCTTATATTCTCATCCTAAAGAGCGCCTGTCTTGCCTTATTAGGAATCTGGGAACTGAAAAGAGAAGAGATTACCCTGTTGAAAGAACTGGGAAGTGGACAGTTTGGAGTGGTCCATTTGGGCAAATGGAAGGGGCAGTATGATGTCGCCATTAAGATGATCAAGGAGGGCTCCATGTCGGAAGATGAATTCTTCCAGGAGGCTCAGACCATGATGTAAGTTTCTTCTGAGGAAAGGCAGTTTAGCCCTCACCATGGGAAGACATTCATGCTAATAGTCCTGACTCTAATATTAACAAGGCCTGGAGCAAGTGGCCACATATCATAGACATAAATGCTTCCAAGTTAAAAATCATGCTAACACACTTAAATAAAATCAGCTGTGCTCCTCTTTTGACAAGTATACCTTCACGACAGCCTGAAAGGCCATATTCAAATTTATCATTCTAAAGACTCTTTAGAGGAACCAGCCTCTGGCCCATGGCCCCCACAAACTCCCCCTCTACCCTTTCTCCTCCCAATCCCTGCTCTGTCCTGCACTATATTCAGTACTTGTGTTCAAACATAGAATTTGTATATCCAAGATCCCTCTGTGTATCCCACAAACAACAACTGGCTAATTATCTTGGTTAGGTGGTTTACTCCTGGGGGGGGAAGATCCTAAAAGAGTCTGCACAGGTCCTAGAAGAGGCCTCAGGATGATGTGGACAGGGGATGATAGTCCTGGTACACCAATTATGATAGAAAAAGGGATCAATGGGTTCTGAGTGAGCATGTCTCCTTAGCCCTCTGGCCTCCTTGCCCCATGGAGAGGTACATGGTAGAATGCAGAACACAGTGGACACAGTGGGTCCCTGTAAAGCCTATGCCTGAGGTCAGGAGTCTCTAGTGGCCAGGACTAAGACAATACTGAAAACAAATGCCCTAATAGGCAATATCCTTTTGCTTCCTGGTACCTTCAATATAGTCTGATAAATCCCTTTCTTACTCTATTCTTGCCTCACTGATAATGAACAAATCCTTCCCAATGGGCTTCAACTTCAAGCACTACATATGTATGTTTGTGTATGTGTTCTCTTTCTCTGTTTCAATTCTCTCTCTCTCTCTCTCTCTCTCTCTCTCTCTCTCTCTCTCTCTCTCTCTCTTTCCTATGCAAGTACAAAGAATTAATTTCATGATTCTACCTCTTCTTGTCAATATGATGACTCAGACTTTGAAGGGTATCTAACTATATAGCTTTGTCTGAGACTTCCCTGAATAGACACCTTTGCTAGGGCTGGCTGCATGGGTATGTAACCCACACTTAGAAGGGCTCCACACTTGGTTTAAGGCAGTTCTGTCACCATCTGAAATTCTTAATAATCTCTATATATAAAAGCCCAGTGACCATTACAGCGGAATGACCAGAAAAACCAGAGTGACTGGTCGCTATGATGTGCTCTGACCACCAAGGGGCAGATGCTCAATGCAGGAGCTGCTCCCTGGTGGTCAGTGCGCTCCCACAGAAGCTGGGTTTACGGCTGACAAGTACAGGCAGGTGGTTAGGATGGAGCAGGTGGGAGGTAAGGAGTGAGGGGTCCCGGATTGTGAAAGGGATGTCCGACTGCCAATCAGGCCTAAACTGACAGTCAGATGTCCCCCAAGGGATCACAGATTGTAAGAGGGTGCATGCCGGGCTAAGGGACAATCCCTACCCCATGCATGAATTTCATGTATCAGGCATCTAGTTCTTAAATAAGCACCCCTGCATTTTCATTTTGCTCCAGTTCCTGAAAATTATGTAGCTCATTCTGCTTTTGGCAATTGGACTGTGATAAAACTGGGGAGGAAGCCCTGATGTCTTCTCCCTTTTGTAAGACAGAAAAATCTCACAGAAACTCCCTTAGGCTCATGGTGTAACCCCACCTCACCCCCATGTCCTGGTAAAATTTTAAAACATACTTTTTGCTATTAGAAGGCTGGCAATCAAGCAGAATCATTTTTTAAAAAGTCATTAACAAATCACCTAGTTATAAAAAAAAAGAAGTCAAACTGTACCATAAGCATTAAATTCCACATGTAATGATCAACTAACTGAGACTTATCAGGTGGGGATACCAATTGACATGGTGTTCCCACCATGTGCCCTCTGATTATTGACAGAATTTGCTCAAGTAAGAGCTTTAATTGGGTGACGGACCTTTGTTCTGCCACAAGCCTTTCCTCTGAAGAGTACCAGGTCTCTACAGTTGCTGAAAGATGCATAACTGGGCTCATCACCCTGAGTAATATGATAAGGCATGACTCTATAGTTCAAGAAGAAAGAAAAATAAATATTTAATAATTCCTCAATTATTAAAACATTTAAAAGTTGACATATTAAGTTCAGGTTTACTTTACACATCTGAAGATTAAAGAATCATCCTGTAAATGGATAAGAATAGATTATATAAGGACAAGTTGATGAACATCATTAACAGATGAGTGTCCATCCATCATAACCTACTAGAAGTGCTATGTCATGTTTTTACTATTTTCTAAATTTATTATTGAAAAAATAATGTAACAATGTAATGAGTTTTTTTAAAAAGAAAAATTGTGCCTAGTCTTATTTTCCTAACATAGTGACTATATTCATTTTATCTATGCCATTCATATTTTGATACAATTTTTAGAACGAAATATTTAGACATGAAAGTTAGATCTTTAAAATGGAAGTGTGTAATTTTAGGGTTTAGGTTCATCCAAATCAGTCATGGAAGTCCTCGAGATGCCACTAGACTAAACAGGATTTCCAAGGCATCAGACCATTGCTTCCCTGCTTCTCTGTACGGAAATTGAGCACAGTATCCATAACCACTAAATTGCTGCTGGGGTTATCAATGTCAAATGTAAGACCGCACTTTTTTTTCCTTCAAAGACTAATAAGATTCAAAAGTGTTTTCTTCTTTCCCTGTTCAAGTAGAAGAGGGGAATTCAAACAAACAGATATCTGAGCGTGATACTTTTTAAGGACATTCGGAAAGTGGAGTGTGGAAATTCAATACTTAACTTTGAAAATCTGTTATTTCCAGGAAACTCAACCATCCCAAGCTGGTGAAGTTCTATGGAGTGTGCTCAAAGAGATACCCTATATACATAGTGACTGAATATATAACCAATGGCTGCTTGCTTAATTACCTGAAGAGTCACGGAAAAGGACTGGAACCCTACCAGCTCTTAGAAATGTGCTATGATGTTTGTGAAGGCATGGCCTTCTTGGAGAGCCACCAGTTCATACATCGGGACTTGGTAAGCAAAGCCGTTGGAAACTCAAAGAAAGGAAAGAAAACAATCCACACTCCCCACTTCCAGCAGTGGGGCCATTGGGAGGAACAGCAAGGAGGCCACCTTAGCTTTTACATTGCTCACATGTGACTTGCTTAAGCACATGACACTTTCATAATTTTTTTTTTAAAAAAATCACAATTTCAAAATAAAATATTTGCAGTTCAGAAAGAATGGAGAGAGTAAAAGAAGCCATCAAGATCTTTGTAGTTGTGTGTCGTTTGAAGGAAAAGGGATGGGAAGGGAAGTCTTTGGTCAATTTAGTGTTTCTGGGAACCATTAAACCCAAGTAGACCCTTACTCTAAGAAGGGCTTGGTGCCAAAGCAGTCACTTAATACAATAACTGAAAATATAAAAACAAATGAAAACCAGAGAGAAATGAAACTTGTGTATGTGTTTGAGTCAGAAGGGGAGGGAAAAGTGTTCTGTTTGGTATGCACTGGTATTTATCTTTAGAGATTTTCTTGTGTTGAACAGAAAACATGCCATGTACACTAGGCAGGTGCATTGTGAGTCTCTGGTACAGCATTTCTACCTTAAGAGTGCATGTTGCTGTAAGGTATCCTTGAAGAAGCCTCTTGAACTGATTTTTTCTTCTCATTGAGGGGCTCGGGTCCTGTGTTTAATGTGTAATACCTTTTGTGTTTGACAAGAATGGGTGCGTGGGTGAAAATACTTATGAGAGCACGTTTTTATTTTGTAAAATCAAAAATTGCAAAGGGAGAAAAAACAACTCCCCAACATTTGGGGTTTTGCTAGGAAATCTTAGATTTTGCAGGAAATTTTGCCAAAGAAAAGAAAGATTACAGAAGATTCATGGTCACCTTTACTACTTGATGATTTTGTGTTGTTGTTGTTTTATTTGTTTGTTGTTGTTGTTTTTCTCCAAAGGCTGCTCGAAACTGCTTGGTGGACAGTGATCTCTCTGTGAAAGTATCTGACTTTGGAATGACAAGGTAAGCCAGTCCCAAAGGGGCAACCAATAAAAGAAAGATTTCCAACTCAATGCCATCATAATTAAAGGCTCTGTGGGGATACAAAACATGCACTGACTTGGGGGCTTAGAGACCTGGATTTCTTCCCCCATACTATCTTTGCCTACCTATGAAACATATTTCCTCACCTGTAAAGTCCCTTTCAGTTCTTTCAACATCCTGATAAATACTTTCTAAACTTATAAATTCCATGCAAGATCCTACATATTTAAATATAAAATATTACAGTCAGATGATTTGGATAAATATGTGGATGGATGGATAAATGATAGATAGATAGATAGATAGATAGATAGATAGATAGATAGATAGATAGATGATATAGTCCATCAAGGTTCCTTGAGCCCCTCTGTCTGGGGATTTTCTTAATATACTGTATACCTAAATGGGTAGAGCATTAGCATCAGGAAAATTTTGTTGTCATGTCATTAAATTATCTTTATCATGAAGTAAGGCATGAAATTAGACTCTGAGATTCTCTTGATGGGTGTTCTATCACCATTTCATCATTTTGGAGAATCATTTTGATTCTGATAGCACTTACTTTAAAAGTCTTCCATTCCCTAATTTTGAATTCTCATTCTACTTAAGCCCTGAAGCCAATCTGCATGACTTTACATAGGAAATGAAAACATACATGCTAACCTTGTCACTGAACATTTATCAAGTTCCTACTAGACTCCTTGAACTTATGGGGCATAGTGATATGAATGGAATAGTCCCAAATACAGTAGCAAGTCAAATGTATGGGCATTAAAAAATGCCAACAGTTAGTCCAAATGGGCAAGTAGATGTTACTGACATTGAGACAAAATACAGCTGTAAAATTGTGCTGACTCAACATAAACTCACATAATGCTGAGGAGGAAGAATGCAGTTTTAAACAGATCTGACAAGTTTACCAAGGCCAGCTCTGTATTTAGCAAACATAGCCCTAAAACACCATAGGAAGACCTGTCTCTAAGTTTTCTCCAAAATTCTGTATTAGGAAGCGCTCCTCTGCTGGGACCCTTCAGTATGGCAAGGTACCCTTTAGCTGTGCTACCTGCCATTACTCCAAACACGATACACTGAGTCTCCTGCACTGACATTCCATATATGAGGGCAGGAAGAAGCTCTCAGAACAGGGCTGATTCCCACATTGTTCATAAAGTAGGAATATCGACTGTTGTGCCAATATGCAGGGAATATACCTCAAGTCCTTTGTTTCTTAGAAAAAAGGGGAATACAAGTCTTACTTTGAATAAGGGATGCTAGGGACCAGGCCCTTTCTGTCACAAAGCTATGTGTCACATCATTCAGATGCCTGTGACTTAACTTGGTCCAAGTGATGTGAACAAAGGGTTAAACAACATAAAATTACCAGTTGGGGGGTGCCAATGTAATTTCTGGGTGTCTTGTGGTATCTGTGAAGCTGAAGAGGCCCAGGGAGAAAAGTACGGAAGGTGCTATATATAATCCTATAAAGTTGTTATGCATTATTACTATTATTTGCATAGAATGACTTGCCAAACCAGCTATTTCTGATGTTTTAAATTATGGTAAATATCTCTAACACATTTTGTTGTGTATAGTTTTCTTATAAATTATATCTAAAATTTCAGTTTTCATAATGTTTATTTTCATATTGTCCTATTTATGAGTCATTATTTATTTGGTTTGTGGGCAAATATATTGGGTTCCCCTATATTAATTATAAAGTAGTATGTGCTTATTGTGAGAAATATAACAATGGTGTATAAACTCAAGTAGAATTTGACCCTTTTCCCCATTCTCAGCACTAGTAATAACTATTGCTAATACATTCAGTGGATATCCTTCCATACCTGATTCCTAGGTATACCCAATCATGTATACAAGTAAGTACATTTACTGTTTGTTTCTATAAAGATGGAATCACATTATATGTACTTGCTTTTGCATATAAACGTATACCCATGGTCTCTTTTTCTTATGGTGAATATAGAGTTATCTTATTTCTTATAGCTGCATATTATTCTATTGTATTAATGTACCATATTATATTTAATCACTCCTCAACATGTGGACATTAAGATTGTTTTCATTATCATTATTATAAGCCACAGTATAGTGAATATCCTTGAACATATATTTTTATGGTCTTAATAGCCCCATAGGATATTTGTGTTCATCATTGTTTATAACAGCAAAATATTAGAAGCCATTTACATGGTTAAACAAATTATGTTAATTTATAAGAGGGCATTCAGCCATTAAACATGATAGTGCAGAAGAAAATGTAACCATATGGACAAAATGTTTTTGATATGTTGTTAAAGGAAAAATAAAAGCAAATTTCAACATGAAAGAAACCCAATTTTTTTCATGTTATATACAGGAAAAAAAAAAGATTGGAAACTATAAGCAAAAATGTATCTTGAGTGGTAGAATTACAGGTTATCTTTGGGGTGGGATTCTGAGTGACTTCATGTTTACATTTTTGTGTTTTTCTATATTTACCAAACATTTTGCACTCATATTTTGGTGTATTCAAAGTTAGGTATCATTTTTAAAGCTTACAAGTCATAAGCAGGCTCTACCTAAGTATACACATTGAAAGGAAGCAAAAGATCCAGAACATCAAGGCATCCGGCTGACTGGCTGCCTGTACTACATGCCACCAGGCAATGGCAGCCAGCAGAGTCTCCCCATTCTGCACAGCCAAGCAGCTTAAGGTCTGTATTGATCCCTCCCCCTCCCACACAGGTATGTTCTTGATGACCAGTATGTCAGCTCAGTAGGAACCAAGTTTCCCGTCAAGTGGTCAGCCCCAGAAGTGTTTCACTACTTCAAATACAGCAGCAAGTCAGACGTATGGGCATTCGGTAAGAATGTGGCCACACAGGCCTCAGCCCCATTTCACAAGCCAGCTTCCACAACAGGAAACCACAAGGGTAACAACATCCATTTTTAGCAAAAACCCAAGCGCTTACAAAATTACCTGTAGGCAAGCAAGAGATAGAAAATGATCTTTCCTTGAGCTGGTGTTATAATGTCTGCATGTATTCTGTACTTTGCATCCTGCTACCACCTTCTCATAAAAGCTGTTCTACTGAAGAGTTCAAGCAATTTTTAAAAAATGAGTCATTGAAAACAAAAACTAAGTTTGCATGAAGTGGAAAACACTGAAGGGTTTACAATGGAATCATCTGTTTTCGGCATTAGAGCAGCTGTGATAAGCATTCCTTTCTGAATTGACCCATTTGGGGGACATGCCTGATATAAAAAAAAAGAAAGAAAGAAACAAACAAACAAACAAATATGACTCAGTGTTCTCTTTGACCCATACCAATTTCAACTAGCTTCCTCATTAAAATTCCTAATTTAAATCAGGGATGAGCAAGCCACAAACCAGGACCAAATCCAGTGATCTGTTTCTGTAATTAAAATTTTATTGGCACCAGGCCATGCCCATTTGTTTTAGTATTGCCTCTGACTGATTTTGTGCACTAGCAGAGTAGAGTAGTTGCATAGATGCATGTCCTCCCACAAAAAGAAAAAGAAAAAAAAAAAAACTAAAATAGTCCCTATGTTACTCTTTACAGAAAAAGTTTTCTGGCCTCTATTTTGTTAAAAGATCTATATTGAAGTTTAGTAACGATAATTAGAAAACTGAAATAATTCTTAAATTGTGATTTTGTAGATTTGCTGATGTTTTTCTACATTGGGAGGGATGTCAGACTTGTTTACAATCACCATCAGAAGCATCCAGCATAAATAATCCAAATTATTATCAAGCTATAGAATGTATTTAATTCAACTAAAACCTATTTCATGCTTGTCTTGGTCCATAAGCGTAATTGGACTTTCTACATGACATCTATAAGACTGCCTTTAAAAAGAAAAATTTTGTCATGGACACAGACAACAGTGTGGTGATTGTGGGGCGGAAGGGGGTAGATGAAAGTGGAAGAGAAGATAGGGGGGCTAAATGGTGATGGAAAATAACATAATAGGATTAGGGTTAGGGTTAGGCATTTACCTTTTTATATAACATGATTTTTAAAAAAATAATTATTCCTTTAGTAAAGGTGCTATTGTTCATTGTAAAAAATAATAATCCAGTATATACAGAAAAAGGAAAAACCACAAAGATAGCATTTTGGTAAATACTTGACAATATTTTATGCTGATTCATTTGTCAAAATTGGTTTCAATCTCCTTGCTCCAGTTAATATGCCTTGTGAAAGATATTTTTTAAAACAACACGCTTATTTAATAGTTCTACCTTGTGTTTTACCAAAAAATTGAGTTATCCAGATTAAGGACTCATCTTTGCACCAGAACGTGGCTCCTGGCATTTTCTGGCTGTTTTAAAAAACTAAATCCATTCTTCAATAATGTGTCCCCAATAAAGATATTCAAAATGAACCAGGGCCTCCGAAAGTAACTCTCAAAAAGGAGTTGCTCATTCAACAAACTGTGCGCCCTCTGATGTCGGCTCTCTTTCCTTGTTGTCTGTTGTCCCCCGCCCCCTCCTGGCCCCTCGGTGCGGTACAGGGATCCTGATGTGGGAAGTGTTCAGCCTGGGGAAACAGCCCTACGACTTGTATGACAACTCCCAAGTGGTTGTGAAGGTCTCCCAGGGCCACAGGCTCTACCGGCCCAAACTGGCATCGGACACCGTCTACCAGATCATGTACAGCTGCTGGCATGAGGCAAGTGCACCACCAGGGGAACTGGGTGCCATGTCACCCCTAGGTAAAGCATTGTTGAGGGGGAGGCACCAGCTTCAGATCAGGTGGAAATGGCCAGGGCCCGCTGCCCTCAAGTGTTTGCAATTAAAAACAAGAAATGCAGGTGCAAACATTTAACAACTTATACCCAACGCTGTTCGACAAACTTCATAAATATTAGCTTATTTATTCATCAGTAAACACACTGATATCATGGCTAAAACTAACAGAAGAGGAAATGGACCCGGAGATGTTTAAGTGACTTGCCCAAGGTCATACAGCCATGAAGACGCTGACTGACTGGTCTTGGAGTCCCTGTTCTTAACCACATTATAGGGTCTCTCCTCGGGTAGAAAATGTGTAATAGAGAACTTAAAAGCATGTGTAGAGAATACACATAGAGAATAATGGACATGACTCCGTCCTCTCTTCCCACACTTACCAAAGGCTGAGTAAAAGCACTCCACGCAGATAAGGAATAAGAATATGTTTTGAAGTAGACATGGAGTTGAAATTGCAGATTGATTGCCCTCAAAGAACTCAGCCCCCCCCCTACACACACACACACACACACACACACACACACACACACACTCACACACGTGTACCCATACTGTGGAACTGAAAACACCAAGCAGTTTATAACTATACACACTATACCTGCGCAATATAAATAGAAACAAGTACAGGACTTACTGCCATCACTGGTCAGTTGAAGAAGAGGAGGAATCAAGGGATTTTGAGGTGAAGCCAGACCTCCTTGGCCCTCGCCACTCCAGCTCCAGACACTAGGACTGCACCATCAGTTGGACAGGGAGCCCTGAACAGGAAGGACCTGCCTTCTTTCCACAGCTGCTCCACATAAGTGTGTGAATTATGGTAGGATCCATTGAGGGGGGCTGCAGAGACAATCCCCGATGAATGTTCTGCATCTAGTGAGCGTTTTAGTCTCCCTTCAATTTTTCTTGTTAATCCTCACCTGAGGGTATTTTTTATATTGATTTTCAGAGAGAGTGAAAGGGAAAAGTAGAAACAGAGAGAAACATTGATGTGAGAGAGACACATCAATTGGTTGCCTCCCACACGTGCCCCAAACTTGAAACTGAGGTATGTGTCCTTGACCCGTGGGCTGATGCTCTATTCGCTGAGCAAAACCAGCTAGGGTTCTCCCCTCAACTTCATATTTTATTGCAAAACATTCACAATTTTCATTAGGTTCCAATTTATCTGAATTTCTGCCCATCTGATATATGAGAAATGGCAATTAAGGCAGCTTTCATATGTTCCTATTCATTATAAATGAAGTATATTTTAAGGGCATTTGTATATCTTTTTAAAAAATATTTTTATTGATTTTTTACAAAAAGGAAGAGAGAGGGATAGAGAGTTAGAAACATCAATCAGTTGCCTCTTGCACACCCCCTACTGGGAATGTGCCTGCAATCAAGGTACATGCCCTTGACCGGAATCGAACCTGGGACCCTTCAGTCCACAGACCAACGCTCTGTCCACTGGGCCAAACCGGTTTTGGCAGCACTTGTATATCTTCCTGAGAATTATATATCATGTCTTTGCACTTCTTTCTAACAGGTTTTTGTTTTCCCTGCCTCAAGTTTTAAAATCCTTTTATAAAGTGAAAGTATTTAGTTTATATTTTAACTTAGCAAATTTAACACCTTTATGACATTGATTTGTAATGCTCAAGAACAAGCAATGTTTTTTTTTCTATGTGTTGAAATCTAAGTTTATACTTTTTAGCAGTGTTTTAAAGTTTCCTTGATTTGGAGGTACATTTTTGTTGGTATTTTATTTTGGTGTTGTTGCTAATGTAATTGGGTTTTCTCATATCATCTAATTGGTTATTGTACATATATATGAAGGCTATTGATTTTGTATGTTAATTTTATATACCATTCTGACGAATTCCTTTATTATATGGGTGGGTTTTATCATGGATTCTCTTCATTTTTCTAAGCATACAATCATATCTTATGTAAACAAAGATACTTTTACTTTTTCTTTTCAATTTGTAGGACTATAATTGTTGTTTCTTTAGTAAAAATGTCTGTAGTGTTTCCACATTTCAATGTTACTAGCTTTAGAAATCAGGCATAAATATTTTATATATTTTATTTTTAATCACAACCATCATAAACTAAACCAATTTTTTCCCCTTTTATTTAGCTTCCAGAAAAGCGTCCCACATTTCAGCAACTTCTGGCTTCCATTGAACCACTTCGGGAAAAAGACAAGCCTTAAAGAAGAAACTAGATCTGATAAGAATGGATATAAATGTTAGCCAGCATCTCCATTCTTTTTAAAGAACATAGCAAAGCACAGACTACCTAATTTAGTGAGTTCTTCTTAATGGTATTCTGTGTGCTGTTTGTCTGTTATATTATCTAGAAATGAACAAGGTAGGAAAGAAAAGATTTCCTTGAAATTTAGGTCAAATTAATGATTTTGTTTATGCTGCTCTTAATATTATACTTCCAAGCCTAAAGCACATTTCCTGATTGCAGTAAAGAAGGCATATATCACATGTAAAGATTGAACAGAACTGAAAAATTATTGGTTCCATATTTGTTCTTTTCTTTATATCATCACTCCCATGATAATTAAATATGCTATTAATAACTACAAAAATGTGGACATTTGCCTTCATGTTTCAATGTTCTCAATCTTTAACATGCATGTGAATCAAATGGAGAGTTTATTAAAACACAGATTCCTAGGAGCTACCCCAGAGATTTTGGTAGAGCAGGTCTGAGCGCAGCCAGAGAATGTACATTTTTAACAAGTATCCAGATGTTCCTGTGCAGACAGTCAGAGCTGCCCTAGGAGATTTCATTATATGCTGGGCATCACTGGGTGGTCCACAACTTAATCCAAATAACACAATTCTCATCACAGACCACTGTTAAGCTTCACTTGAAGCTTAGATTAGAACAATGACTTTATGTCACCATGTACACAAATAGAAAACTAAAGTTCAACAATATTATCTATACTAATAAAAGGGTAATATGCTAATTGACCGGACATCTTCTGATTGTCCTACCTTCCTTCTGAACAAAGCCATGGTGGCAGGGGCCGAGGTAGAGGTGGTTAGGGCTAATCAGGCCAGCATAGGAGAGCAGTTAGGGACGATCAAGACAGCAGGAGAGGACAGTTAGGGGTGATCAGGCAGGAAGGCAGATGAGCAATTAGGAGCCAGAGGTCCCAGATTGTGATAGGGATGTCCCAGATTGGAGAGGGTGTAGACTGGGCTAAGGGATCCCCGCCCAACCCTGACCCTGACCCTGGTGAATGAATTTCATGCACTGGGCCTCTAGTTCCATAATATGTTAACTATGTTTCACACAGAGCAAATTTTAAAAGGTGCTAAGGTATAACTGTGCTTTTTTCCTTACCCTTAACCATTTTCAATCTCAACTCAAGTGTAACCAAGATCTTATATGTAGAATTGATAAGATTGTTGCTTTCTAGTCATTTTAAATACTTGACTTTGGGGCCCTAGGGCTTCTGGCCAGTTTGACAACTGATGTTTCTATTTCAGTCTTCCTTCTTGACACAAAGGTGCAGAAGTATGAGTTTAGTTCTCATGGCTATTATTAAAATATACTTTAGCTTTAAAACTCATCCTGAGAATTCCCTCCTTCACAGCCTGCTGCTGAACCCATAGGTTTTCATCGCTCTTGGACTCCTTCATTGTCATCTCTATAATGTCAGGAAGGGAAAGAGAGGTTGTGCTGAGGGCACTATTACAATAAAAAGACAACCTAATTAAGCCCTGCTACTACTTTCTAGCTATAAGTTAAGAATCTCCCTCAAGAGACATTCATACCCTTTCTTGTCCCACTTATTCCCTTGCCCCTAGCTATTTCAAATTATCCCTCTTAGTTATGTGTTACTTGACATTTAATGATTCTATTCTTTTCAGCACAATTTACTTATAATAGTCTCCTGGTTGTTTGTTTTTGTTTTTTTTGTTTTTTTTTTTACAGAAGTACACAAATCTCAATGTATAATGAAATGAACTTTAAAAGGAACTACTAGGGCATTTATACAGTCATCATGCATTTATTTAGCGTGTTCTCGGTTCCAGGTTCAGTGGGTCACAGTCAGGTGGGAGTGTCAGCCATGCTGTGCTCTCAGACTCTGTCTGCAAGAGACTGCAGCGCAGACTGTGACTCCCCAGAGAAAGATTTTTCAGGCCCAAACTAGGTCTTTCTGCCCCACCCCCTTGACAGTTGTTCTCCCCTTTTATTTGTATCTTTAAGTATTTGATCTAAAAATAATCACCCTTATAATTGAAGTAATACATGTTTGTTACAAAAATTCAAACAATATAGAATTCTCTACCATGAAAAGATGCCAAAGCCTGGCTTAAAAGCCTGGCTCCAAGTCAAGGAAGATTTTACTGTGGAGCTTTATCAGGAAGTAAGTCCAGTGATGCTAGGGGGAGCCAGGTAATGGAACAACATTCATACTATTTAAAACATTCATAATAATTTTAAATGCTATTTAACTTGTTTAGTGTGATACCTGGCATTTATTGTCGTTGTTTTAAACCAGAGAGCTTCTTAGAAGTGAAGAAAACGTTCATCTTCCCCTGACTTGGCTAACTGACCCATATTTCTATAGAATTTATTAAGAACAAAGTTATCTAACATCATGCTGATTACCACACAGAGAGAATTGATAGGTAGAGTTTTGATATTTTCATTTATTTAATCTATTTTAAATCAGTCTTTATGTATGATGATGTGCTCAGAACTGGGCTAGGGGCTCTGAGATGTATATAAAAGCACATCAGGTTTGTGTTTCCTAACCTAAATGTTATATATATATATCATCTTAACTCAACTATTTTAGACTGAATTTTCAGTTGCTTCATACAATAAACACATTTTTAAAATTGGAATACATTCTAAGACGTTTGAGAGGTCAAAGGTCCCAGACATTCAAATAGCAACCCAGTCCCTGGAAGTGGACAGAATCCACAGAAGCCCCAGTATATAAGTACCCATGAGACCACAGGAGTGTGCAAATCTAGTATTTATTGAGTATATGCTTTGTGCTCAGTGCTACTCAAACATTGTGGGTAAAAACAAAAGATTTAAGAGATTAAGTGCCAACTTCAGAGGTGACATACAGTTGGATTTCCACTCACTCCATAGAGGACAATGGAAGTGAGTTTCTACCAGGTATGCTAGGTGGGGGCAGTGTCATGGAGGCCCCAGAGGCTACTTTAATATTGTCAGGGAGATGATGATCAAGTAGCTCGGAAGTGAGAAGGCAACATCTTCTGACACTCTCTGGATTCTTTTCTCTTCTTTAGCCTTGTCACCCTGAGAAACACATGGTCTAGTCCAATCATGACTGGGAAAATTGCTATTGTACTTAGATTTAAGTTGATATGAAGATAACATGTCATACTCTACACATGAATTAAAATAAAGTGAACAATATGTGTTATTCTCAATATCTGCAGCTCCATCAGTTTACATTCACTGTTCTTAAAAGCCATCCATCCAGACTCCATATTAGCTCTTACACTGAATCCTCCCGCCATATATGCTTTTTCCCCCAACTCCAGCAACACAACAAACATTTGTATTTCCATTGCCCCTGAACAGCCTGGAAGACCAAGGACACACTTTCTCAAATTTGAGGCAGAAGTAAATACTAAAAGCAATGCAAGTAAAGAGGCCTCTAGGCCTCGGCATGTCTTCTTTGGACAATTCTCCTGAACAGAGCCATGGTTTTGATGTTTAATGACATTTTTATAATCTCATATTTTCTTTAGTGTGAAATTAACATTGACATGCAATAAAAAATCACCTCAAGAGGAAATAAAATGGATTTTTTTAAAATGAAGTTTGAACATCATCACCACTTTGGAATCCTGGATTATTTTCTCCTTTACTCAAATTCACAGAAGAATAAGGATTTTCTTCATTTTCTGCTTGGTTTTTCCTGTTAAATAAAATGAAGTCACCTTAAAATAGTGATGTTAGAATGACACTGCCTCCCGTGGGCCCTATTGGGCACAGGCATCTTTGACATCTCAACATCTAATCACTGATGTATTTGTTTGCATATCAGTCCCCTATTAATGGACTATAAACACCTGCAGTGCATTGGGTTCACTTTTTAGCTCCTAGATTGTCACCCTGGCTGGCCAAGCATAAGAGACAAGTTGGGATGTGAGCTCTGGAGTCAGAAAAAGGGGGGCCCTGTGCCTCAGTTTGCCTATTCAGAAAATTATGGCAACTACATAAAGACAATGAAATAATGCTTGGAGAGCATTATTACTGGCAGAGCACTGACAGTACCTAACATATAATCCTCAATAGATATTAACCAGTAGTAGTGGTGGTGGTGGTAGTAGTAGTAGTAGTAACTCAGTGGTCATTTAACCAATCACCTCATATTAAAGTGCTTCCCTACTATATTAGCAACTTCCAAAGTATAAAGATCAGGATAGGACGGTTTTGTGGTACAACAACCAGCTTTGGAAACTGGGTATAAATCCCAATGTGTTACTCATTAGCTGTGTAAATTTGAGAAAGTTACTTAGCCTCTCTGAATCTCAGTTTTACATATGTATGAAGATAATTACACACTTATACCATAGGTTTTCCAAAAACATTAATGTATGAAAGTACTGAGCAGGGTAGCCAGTGTTATTTTTCTGTGTAACTTCTATTTACATTGTGTGTGGCATGAAGGATAAGTGTCCCCAAATAATGTATTTAATGAATTAACTTTGGAATAGTATCTCATATGCAAGTTTTTAGTATGTAGAAGAATGCTTCTAAAACTGTAATGTGTACACAAATTACCTGGGAGGACTTACTAAAATGAGGTTTCTAATACAACAGGTCTCCAAGAAATTGATAGTTCTGGTTGGCATTATGAAGGGAAGTTGGAGGCAAAGAGTGACAGAGGGACTAAGTATCCTTGTGTATTTTTAAAATGTTAATCATAATAGATAGATACTATTTAATAGTTATTTTTAAAAATGAAGCTCCTTTGGGGAACTATAAGACTCTATAGTGAAGAAAATTAAGCAAAATTGACTAATGCATGTAAAAATTCCACCAATAATGTGTTTAAACAGCCCAAATTGCAATTACATAAGCCAAACAAAAGTAAATGATTTCTCAAGACCAGGAAAAAATAATGTAGCGGCAGAGCAAGACCACAAACCAGGCCTTTAGTGATTTAAATCCTCATGAACTTGGACCTTC